TTGTAATGAAATTTATAATTTAATTAGATGTGCATCAGTTTAATATCTGCGCGGCCTTGATTAATTGGCCAGACTACTAGTAAACCACGGTATAAGTTTAAATCTTTCCTATTTAGAAGGAATCTATATTTATATTATTATAATCAAATAATTAGAAAATTTGATATAATTTACGTGCTTCAGCTTTTTGACATTTATTATTGATTTCGTATTTTACATCTATTAGGCTAAGGATAATAATATTAATTTCTATTTAGGTAATATACCTAACGTAAGCAACTGAAATGTAGAATTAACTATATTCTTCTTTTGGTAGAGGTTACGAAGCACAGATCTCTTATATTTTATAGTAAAGTGAATTTTAGGATTCCTGATTTATCTCTACTACGTAATAGTATTGAGAAGTATAAAGCTTAAAGTACTATGCTGCCTCTTGCTTGATAAAATCGGGCCACTATTGCTTTGATAAGTAACTACTACCTACCTATAATCGCAATGACTACTCAACATCATGTTTTAAATATAATTCTATTATTTTTGTGTGTTGTTAAATATTTTATCACATTCATTTAATTTTTTTTATTTCTAGTGATTTGTATATTAATATAAAGTTAAGAATGCAGTTGCATTAAATAAATTCTCAATAAAAATAAACTTTTATTTCCATTTTTTAATATAAACTTTTGATTCTATATTGTGGTACTAGCTATTGCCTGCAGTTTCACCCGCCTTGAATCGAGTCGAGCCTTGCCCTTCATAAATCGGCTCTTAGTACTTGGTATTATTAATATTTTGCAGTTATTTAAAAAACTCTATCTCTTAAGATGTTCAAACAACTCAAATAGCACCTCTGATCAAATATATGTAGTAATAAATTGAAATTCTAATTTCGTGTTTCCTTATTTAGAAATATCGCCATTTCTTACTTTACACTCAAAAAGAGTACCGTACTTCACCAATTCATCAAAAGATGACAGCACAGTAATACATAGCAACTAAGTTGAATATACGGCGTTCGGAAGTGATCTTATTTTATTAGTGTGACAGGTAACCGTTCTTTTGGTTGATAAGATAGTGTAATAAAACAATATAATACTGTACAAGTGGACTGGTAAATACACCTTTGCTACATATTTGTGATCAAATAACAGAACCATTTCAAATAAGAGCTTATTCCTTGATATAATTTTAACTAATGATACTGTCAAAATGAAAACAAAGAGATCTTGTAACAAAGGTTCTAAGAAATTCTGGGTCCGGTTTCGTTACTACTGATATAACGTACAAATAAGTTTAGTATAAAAGTTTATTTAAACACTATTTCGAGACAAATGTAGGTTAAAATGCAGACACAAGATTACTGAATCAGAACGAAAACAAAGATTTCAAGCATATAGGAGACAAAATCACCTAACTCACAATTAGTGGCGTAACAATAGGGTGGCAGGGCTGGCAAAATGCCACGGACCCCCGACCCAAGAGGGTCCCTGCCCAAGAAATATTATGTGCTATGGATGAATGTGAAGTCTCCAATACGCATTGCGCTAGCGTGGGGACTACAGACCATTCCCTCTCGCCTAAGAGAGGAGGCCTATGGCCAATAGTGGGACATATATATATTTTTTTTAATAGAACAGGGGGCAATGGGCAGAAGGCTCACCTGATGTTAAGTGATACCGCCGCCCATGGACACTCAATGCCAGAGGGCTCGCGAGTGCGTTGCCGGCCTTTCAAGAATTGGTACGTCCCCCTTACGCCCGTCTGCTTCCTGTATCATAAATTTTTTTTAAATGAAGACAAATACCTACTCGATTTTTTTTTAAATCCTTGGTTTTAACAGAAAATTTATCTTGTTTATTATTTGAGTTAAGATAAACTGATTAGTAAATTTACAACAATGTTTATTGTTTTCAACTAAAGTTGATTTTACGAATTTGTGCAGCATTTTACAATCGTCTAAGCTTTTCCTTAGAAGATATCAATTATTTTCTAGATAAGTAACACTCGGTTTTTTTTCACTACTTTGATTGTTTATTTTGGTAAAAAGAAAGAATGTTAATAAATGTACACTTTTTAATCTTCGATTAAATAAATATAATAAAAAGGGTCTTACTTATTACGCCTAAAGTTATACTTCTTTGCATTATTAAAAATAGTTTTTGATTGCATGCAAATAATTAATTACAATTAAATAATCAAAGACTGGAAAAAGTCATTAAATCAATAAAGTTCAGTTTACATTTGAAAAATTAATTAAATAAATATTTATTATTATTCTCTTACATTAAACAAATAAAACACTATTTATCTTTAAAACATTTTTTATTTCATTATACTATTTATTTTTAAGTGACTCTAATGTCTTCATCAAATTTCGGTTTGTAATTTTAAATTAATCATTACTTGGTTGTGCATCTACAAGCTTCTCCAAAACTACTTCTTTCTCAACAAATAAGAGAATATTAATTTAAGCTCTGTCCATGCAAAACTTAAATTTTTTTATAATTCATATTATAAATTTTTTAACACATTTATATTAATATAATTATATAAATGTGTTAATAATATAATTTTTACACATCTACAGACCTATAGCAACTTTCTTTTATTCTATTTAGAGATAGAGATAATTTAAATATAATACCGTGTCTTCCTTGTAGGTTTCTTTGGAGTTGTTTGGGGATTCTTGTTGTTCAGTTCGACATGATTTTCTTTAACCTTTCTTTAATCCTACAAAATAATGAAATTGTTAAGCTATGTTGTCACTGTTGTGCACACCTTTGTTTGGCTTTTTAGTATTCAAGTTATGTCAAAACTGATTTATTACCTTGTCATTGTTGGCTTTATTTGCTTTTGGGATATCAATTGTTTCCAAAATGATTTTATTTGTAATAACCTGAAATATATAAATAACATCTATTAATTTAAGTATCATGGTGAGTGGTTCCACTCAGGTATTAAGGTGTATTATACCCACTGTCCATTATAAGTGGGAATGGGCTCACTTCTGGCAGGACAGAGTTTCGGTACTACAAGTGCAACATGGATGTTTTGAGGTATTACAATATCTCTAACTACCCTTAGGGGAATAAATTAATTTGTACGCATATGCCTATGCTTGAAAGGTTGAACCTTGAACATCACCATACATCATATTTATAATTAAATTCCTACCCCCCGACACCATCACAATCAAATTCATTGAAATCTACTTCAAACCATTGTGTCTCGAGAAGGTGATGGTGGCTTTGTTCCACCTCCAGTTTTTGATGTTTCACGGCGGATAAGATGACAACTCTTTTTTGTATTCAATTTAGTGCACTTCCACTATTCATCAATTGTTTTTTGTCTCTTTGTCCTTATATTTGCTAGATTAAATCTGATGTTTTGATTAAATAATGTGGTCATTTTTTTTGAGATGCAGGTACTTATTAAAATGTTTACTTCTCTGTTATATCGCTCCAAGCCTTCATTTTCTCCTTATTAGTATTCGTGCTTAAATCTTTGTTCTCAATTATTGATATATAGGGTCGTAGAATATTTCTAAAAGAGTTGCTGTAACAAACGCAATAAACAAAAGCAATGAATAATGGTTCCATGTTTCAGTTTTAATCAACAATAATACTCGATAATACATACGGATAGTTAACCTCAATTGTATTGAAGCAACTCAGGAAGGTTAGCACAGTTTTTCCACAAATATTTTATATTATTTCACAAATATTTTGTATAATGAAAATAACTAGGTATATAATTATTAATTTTAAACAATAATTAAAACCCTCCTATATTTGTTTAAAAGGTAAAAGTGTCATTGTCAGATGTCAATTGTCATGGTCATTCAAAATTCTTGTTAAGCTGCTAAGCTAGAATATGCGTGAGAGTTAGCTTCACGCATATTCTATTTTCTTTTACTTTGTAGTTTGTCTTACTTCCCACCCTCTCCCCCCCCCCCATTTTTATGCCTTCATAGGTGCGTAAATCGTAAATTCATAAGTACAACTAAAAATAGCGAATCACGAAAAATAGGTATATTTAATGGAATGATTAATTGTTCTAATCAATGACACTTTTTATGACCTTTTCATAAATATATAACACATATTTACAAAAAAATGCATGATATTACAATAATATAAGCTGAACGCTTTGCTGTTTCTCCTGAACATATTGTAAATTGTTGTTATTATATTTTATCGAAGGTGGTAAATGATATCAAGGGCATTTTCTAAAATTTATTATTTAATTACAAGTAGGTACTAAAAATGGATTTATTTAGATGATGATTAATATTAAAATATTCGCATACATCCTAAGTTTTTTTTAATGATACATTTTTATTATGGAACAAACTTATATATGTTAACGTAAAATTGTAAACACCGTTAGATTGTAATCTATCTCGCGAGATTATAAACTGTCGAAAGATTGTGAACCTCAGCGTACTGCTTACAATTTAACGTATTATTATTCGGTAGATTGTAATCTATCGAAGTGAAACCGTCAAATTGTGAAACGGATCGCACCTCGCGCGCTGATTGGTTGAACGGAATATGCCCCGCGCCACCATATTTGTTTGTTGTCGAATGTAACTTGATTGTTTTGATGAATGTAAATTGATGTCGTGTTGAAAGTAACTCACAGCTTTAGAATTAGTTATATGAAATTGTTGGGAAGTCAAATTAATCTGTGATTGACCAAAGAAGTTTGAATGATAATGAAGTTAGTGTTGGAAATGAATTGAAAGAAAATAAGCTTTTAAAAAATAATTTTTAAATAAGCCATTTCACCGGCAATGGGTATGTCATCTTGATTTTAGGGGTATTTAAGGGGATGGTAACACTCATATAATCTGTTGTTACTTGTTTGTCAATGACAGTTCAAAATTAACAATATTAAAAATTCACTATAAAGTATAAGTAATAGCTATACTGCTGAATGTTTATATTTTATATTTATTATACATAGTAATATATATTGATATATTGGCCACGTCCAAGATGAGTTCAATTTCTCGGTCGACACTGCTTCTGAAAAACATTTCTATTACGAAAAATTTAGGTGCAGTTCGTTGCATAACCAAGAAAGTTCAAGATGTCCCTACCCATACGGGTCAAGTAAAGATTATTAATTAACTTCTCACGCCATGTAAATTTTTGATGTGATCCTAGCAATAAAGTTATCTATGATTACAGAAATGGGACTCGGATGACTACCGCCTTGCTCGCTTTACTCTTGCTCCAAAACAAGTGAATTCCAGTTGGGCAGTAAATCTCATAGCAGAGGTACCACCTAAAGAAGTAACAGAGAGGGTTGTTTGGTGTGATGGTGGCAGTGGGCCAGAAGGGCATCCAAGAGTTTATATTAATGTGGTAAGTTATTATTCAGCTGAAACTATGAGATATTGAAAAAATTAATAGAATATTAAAATATTTTTTTAGGACAAGCCAGGGAATCATTCTTGCGGTTATTGTGGACTACGTTTTGTAAAGAAAGAGCACCATTAATTACTTTAAATGTAGGTTATACTATTCTTTAGCTAATAGTTGAGAGAATAAATGGTGAAGTAGTAATACTCGTTTTATAATTTCATATTATATTCACATGTATAATACTAGAAATAATATACATAATTAATAATATGCTTTAACATGTTTTTGTAACAACGCATAATGAAAAACATATAATCTATATTTTTTTTTCCAATTATAATGAAGATATAATATTACAATTATATTCTAACATTGCTAAGTTATTGAAGAATACTGAATTAATAAATGTTTAAACAAATAATAATCATCGGTAGAGAAAATTAACAGAAAACTTTTTAAATTATTTTCTATCAACATTTACTACATACATTTTGTTTTATTTCAATAAAAAATTTATTTGTTCATGTTTTCATTCTGAATTTCCTTCCTTATGTCCTTGTTTGCCTGAAGTAGTTCCCTTAGCCTTTGATGAATATCATCATTTTTTTGCTCTATAAAATCTAATGCTTGGTTAAGTTCGTCTAACTTTGAGTCTAATTGATCATATTCTGAAAGTAATAAGTGAAGAGTATTATATATTTATTCCCTTTATCTTTGTAAGTTTAGTGAACTTATGATAATATATTATAATGTCTCAAGGTGGCTACTATAGACTAGTATTGTTGATGATAGTTTAGGCAGGTTGTTTGCAAATAAATACACTGTAGTGTGACTCTAGGTAGTCACGGGTCAGTGGGATACAGACATATCACAGGCAGTTGTGAGAAAGAAAGCTTGTACAATAAGTGTATGTACTGTCTATACCATTATTTTAATAATGCTGGCCCGGCAGTAAAAGACTATAATATTAAATGTTATATTGTTACCTTCATGTATTATTTGTTCATTTTCGTTTTCTATAACTTCATCATTTGGGGCATCATTAGCTTCATTATTTTCAACTCCATTAGGTTTACTATTATCACTTCCAGCCATTGTACCCAAGCTTTGAAAATAAAATACGTACATTATTATTTTAACTTTTAAAAAATTGAGGCTTATTTTATATTACTCACTGACCTTTTATGGACTATTCGAAGACAAATTAGAATTCTAGTATCCTATATTTTTCAAGTAATATGATAAATTCTCCAAATTATTCTTTCAAAATGTTTCAATTCTTTTCGAAAATTCTATATGTTCTAGTGATGTCAAATGAAGACTCGAATAACTTAAATGGTCGGTTTAGAATTTTTATAATAATGAACTACAAGCATAAGATCCAGATTAACAAGTCACTTTTGATAAAAAAAATATATCAATTCTTATTTTTCTATGATCTAAACTTATAAAGTTGTATCAAGAGATATATGAAAATAATTAAAATTTCATAACACAATCGATCATTCGAATCTATAATTGAAATATGTAGACTGTAGAGCACTTATTACCTGTAAAAATTTTAGAAACACCAAACACATGATTTGGCTTTTGTCTATGGGTATACCCATAGACAATATCTATTATTTTTATTGCAGAAAAGTTGTCCTGCGATAGAGGCGGAAATCGGAATACTACTTTATAGCTGTGGCTACTCATGAATGTTTTATTTATTTTATTCTTATTGAAACCTTTGTTTATTAGATCCACGCAACCTTATCTGTATCTAAGCCTGTATGTTATGTTTTGACTTGAAAAATTTGTTTATGTCAGATATCATGAGATTTCACCACACGACAGTAGACAGCTGACTTATTAAACCCCAAAATACGTATCTACGAGTTACGACCCAGCTAATAGATTTAGCTAAAGTTCGAGTATATGGTTTTTGTATTTTGATATCACATTATTGTAGAACTACTAAATTGCTTACGAAATTTTGCTTTTGGCATAACGCGAACGCTTTTTCATAGTCACCGAGGATTTATTTCTATTGTGTAAGTATTATGCATAGTAAATCGATAAAACTGACTGACATTACACGCCTTCTTTCTTTGTAAATAGTCACTGCTTTGTTTGTTAAATTAATTTATATTTTTATAAAGCTTTCCTATGTTCAAAACACAATGTTTCATAAACAAAGGACGTGTGATACTCTATTAAATATCTACCGACTATTTATGAATATAATCTAGATATAAAATCTAGAAAAAAATTTTTACACGTAAAAATTTCTTTGGGTTCGAGTAGTGTTTATTTGGTTTTAAGATTAAGGTTTTGTCGTGAATGCTAAAATATCTGCTTATGTTTTTACTGAGTTACGCTCAGATCACATCAATAAATCAACTGTAATAAAAAGTTTATTTTTTATTTTCAGAAAAAATGACTTCAGGGCCATACAATTATTCTTATATATTTAAATATATTATCATTGGCGACATGGGGGTTGGTAAATCTTGTCTTCTACATCAGTTTACAGAGAAAAAATGTGAGTAATGCCCTGATATCTACTTTGAATGCTTGTGTATGTAAACAATGAAAATTTAGTTATGGCTCTGGTTTTTAAAATAGTTGGTACATAAATATCCTCATAAAGTAACTTTATTTCTTAGCAGCCTTCTTTGGAATTTTTACTCACTACCTCCTATTATTTCTTCAGTTATGGCAGACTGCCCTCATACTATTGGTGTCGAGTTTGGAACCAGAATTATTGAAGTGGCAGGTCAGAAAATCAAGCTTCAGATATGGGATACCGCTGGACAAGAGAGGTTTCGAGCTGTAACTCGCTCTTACTATAGAGGGGCAGCAGGTGCCCTTATGGTATATGATATAACAAGAAGGTAGATATTTAAAATGTCTACACTTATAATTTAAAAAAATGTAAGACAAAACCTTACCTAAAATGTTCTTACAGATCTACTTACAATCATTTAAGTAGTTGGCTGACAGATACTCGCAACTTGACTAATCCTAGTACTGTAATATTTTTGATTGGAAATAAATCTGATTTGGATGGCCAACGAGATGTTACATATGAGGAGGCAAAGCAATTTGCAGATGAAAATGGATTAATGTTTGTTGAAGCCAGTGCAAAAACGTAAGTATTTAGTCTATCTCTTCTATTGCTTAAGATTTTTGATGTACATATAAATTTTAATGTAAATTCATATTAGTGTTTCAATTAAATTTCAATTATTTTTGACACTATTAAAAACACTATAAATTCAATATATATCATCATCAAATATGGGCTAAGATACAAGTATACATTCTCAATTATAGTGGTCAAAATGTGGAGGAAGCTTTCCTTGAAACAGCAAAAAAGATATACCAAAGCATTCAAGATGGCCGTTTGGATTTAAATGCTGCGGAGTCTGGAGTTCAACACAAACCTGCCTCCCCTGGGCGTCCACTTGCAGCGCCTCCTGCCTCACGGGACAATTGTGCCTGCTAACTCACATTCAACCCTGCCCCATACAAGACTATGGTAACATATTGCCCCAATTAAAAATATGATTTCTATCCAATGTGTGTAATTACTAAAATAATTAACATGCTAGTTTTTTGTCTATATGGTTGGTGTGGGTTTAAACTGTCTCATAATGCAGGTATTAGGAACATGAGTATCTAAATTAATTTGCTTTTTTAAGTATAGTATATTTTAAAATAATATTATTGGTAATTACACAAATTAAGATGAAAAAATTCAAGTACTAGCATCGAAATCAAAATAACTATACAGTGTATTTACTTTTTTATGGTCCATATTTTATAACATCTTGTCTTGAACACTTTAAAATGTCCATTTTTTTTAAATAACTAATAATAATTTACTGTTTACCTTTTAGAATACTGGTTTTAGACACCCGAAATCAGTTTTCAATACATCCATATTATATTTATCCAAATTTATTGAATTTTAGTAAATGAGGTCTTGGAATGGAATATAGACTCAGGCTACTCCGACTTTGTTTATATTTAATGCAAATAAGATGGCAAGCAATATCGACTTTGTATCTTATAATTTTGACAAATTGCTTGTAGATAACTGGGAACAAATTAAATTTTCTGAAAATTGGGGCATATATCATATCGAAATAATAGAGTAAGTAGATGTATTAACATTCCACACTATATTTTTGGGTAAAGGATGTAAATCTTATAATATTATATATATATATATTTATATGATTAAGTAATGGGATGGTTATTCAATCATTAGCCTAAGAATATATTCGACTTTTAACAATCTGTCAGTGAGTAATTATTGAAAAATCAGCCCCTTAATATTATAAAAGTGGAATTTATACCTAGGTACAGCTAACATTTAGAAAATTGCTAGAATTAAGTTTAATTTACATGTTTATCATTTAGCATTAATCTAATATTTATGTACATAAAATATGTTAAAGCATTAAACCAGATTTTTTTGATAATAATTACCTATTTTATTAAAATTCCTATGACTATTTTTATTTGGTAAAATTAAAAAGAATATTAACATATACTTGACATACTGTTTAAAAAAAAATTCTTGGTGCAGTGTTCCTAAAGGTCAAATATAAAGCTTATAAATTTTCTCAAGGTTCTTTGTCGCATATTAGCTAAGTTATTCTTAAAAACTGCTTAATCAAAATACATAATAAGTGTATTGCTTAAAAAGGTTTTTAGAATTAAAATTAAATAAAATTCTGATGCAGATAATTCACCACGTTGCTTATCTAGACTTTTTATCTTTGATCCAAGTTTAGAACTAGAGTAAAAAACCACCTAAGTGAATCAATGGCCTGATGTTACATTGAAAACCTTTTGAATAGATAAATTTTATATTCACCAAGCGGGAATATTTTTCGTACAGGATCTCTTGTTGTACTACAATGCAGCTAAATTTAATAAGATGTTTTCTGTTTTTGACAAGTATTTAGTTGATTATTTGGTATTTATTCTGCACCTTCAATCTTAGTTTTACATATTATATCATGTATTAAACAGAACTTATTTAAAATTATTAAAATAATCACAAATAAAGATCTTATTACGATTCTGATTTTTATTTATGTAATTTACTAGATTAGACAAAATTTTAAGATCAAGATTTGAGCAGTAATCCTGGTGTAAGTCTAAAAAAATGCAGCTACTATCTGTACTTGTTACATACCTATAATTTATTTAATATCTATAAATGTTTTAATGAAAAACAAAATAACGATTCAATATACATTTATTTATATACAACATCATATACACATCTTAAACATATCAGTAAGAATTTGTCAATGCGTAAAAAATACTTTAATTAAATAGTTCATATTTATTTCACATACAAAAAGTATTTTGGAATAATTCGATAAATAACGATTATTGTAAACAAAAAGAAATAAAACGTTTTGTTAAGATATTGCGCAAGAATAAAGAATATGTTTCAAGAGAATAAGAGTGATTTAAATTCAGCTATAGTGGAAACATTTCGGCTTTCTACACATAAAAAAAATAGAAAATCATCTCTATTTTAATTTTGCCATTACAATTTTTGAATATTTTACATATGAGCAAAATATAGAGTTCATCTCTACTGTTTGCATGTGTTATTTTCCTTGCTAATTTGTAATTGCTATGTTGATTAATTGTAGACATATGTATTATATCTTCTGTTGTTTTTCTAAGTATGCATGTTGTTTTAAAACTTATAAATAAATAAATATAATATCATCATAATATTAAATAGGTAGTTAAGAAGTTGTAAATCGTCAACATGAAGAGTAAAAAAGTATATTGGGTAGTCAACAAAGATTTTTACAGTTTTGATTGCGTGTTTTGCACGAGAATATCATGCATATCCTGCAATGAGTTTTCTAGAGCACTACGATATGCGTCACAGGATGTATCGGGATGTCTTCGGAACGCGGAAGTAGCGAAATTAACATCGGAATCACGCGGATTATAGCACGTGGCGTAACCATCACTCACCAACGGTCCGTAACACATGAAACCATCGCATTTGCAGGCGACCTGAATAAATATTGATTTATTACACAACTATTTTTACAATGTTGTTCTTGATGACTTACACGATTTTTTTACTTATTTTTATGTTTTCAAAATAGCTTTTGTTAGTGAATATTTTCAAAATGTTTGTTTGTTTAAATCGATCATTTTACTAGTACATTCTAAACACAAATATAAATTACAATTTAATACATACCTGACTTGTCGATATCCTCATATGTGCACTCCGAGTATATCCCAGGTCTGCGTAAATCGGTGGTAGCTCTATACCATGCTCCAAAGCCGTCAATTTAAGGCCTAAGAGATGTCTGTCCACTCCGAGACCTTGTAGCGCCTAAATACATTGTTTAGATATTTGCAAGGTTAAAAAAAAATACGCCGTAAATATTATCAAACAGGATAGTTTCGGTAAAACTGTTTCGCCGAAACAAACTAGAGTCTGGCTAATGAAAGAAGATAACGAAAAAGCGCGGCAAATTAAAAAAAAATAGTATGGTATCCCTAAAAGTTTGATATATTTTGTGGATTAAACTTACTTGATACTTGATTTTATTTTATTATTTTTTACATTGATAGTAACTGTATTTCTATGAAATTAAATACTATACGTATTTTGTCTTTTACTATTGATACTTAAAATGACTAGCATTGCATGGAAAACAAAAACTATATTTATTATAAAACACAACTTTATTCGGAATAATCAAATCCTGCGAAAGAAACGAAATATTCTATCAAATAAACCAAAGTTTAGGCTATTATACCTGTTAACTATTCGGAAAAAATATATAGTAGAAATAAAAATGAGTAATTGCATGAAGTATCAAGACAATAAATCATGCTAACCTAAGAAATACAATGACATTCTGTGTTGCCATCCGAAAGTTTTCAAATAATTCAATTATCTTCTTTCATTAGCCAGACTCTATTTTGACAGAAGAAAATTTTTCAAAACGAAAATTATCAATAAATAATTTTAATTATTTATTTATTGGTTCAAAATATGTATCTAATTGTCCATGAATTAGCTTCAGCATTACTTTTTTGATGACATATTGAGACTGTCATCATATGAAATGTTTGTAGTAGGTACATTGCTGTATGTACTATACTTTTCCAGGACCACTCAGGTTTTCTTAATCTAAGCATTTCAATAATCTTCTGTTGTGTGTTTAATTCAAATGCAAATCATACTCCTCAATATTAAAATAATTCCACTTACCATAACAGTATAATTTTTGTGCGCGTTAACAGCATTCTTTAGAGCATTTAGTTTATCCTTCGGAGTAGCTTGTGGGTTTAACATAGTCTTAGCGAACTCTATGGACTCGATAGAACACGAACGAATGGTCTCAGTACGCCCCCCCGCGTACATTCGAGTCGCCGCTGACTCGTAGTGAGCGCCGGGCGTTTTGTGTAGTCTATCGAATGAAAACCATACAACCATATTTCTTTAGGAAGTTTGGCATATTTTACAACGCTCGGGACGAGATTGGGACTTGAGATACGAATTAGAATATGGATCTATATCTCTTATCAGAATTTAATTCGATATTATAAATATGTTTATTTATTTAAACAAACACATTACAATCAATTCAGGACACACAAAGGAAAATAATAGGAATTGTAAAGGCTTATATTACTACAAGTATTATATGATAAACTGAAAAAGATATATAAATATACAGGTACCAAAAAACAGCGTCAACAAGCATATAATATATGTATATAAAACTATAATGCTTTATTATAAACTTTAATCTGGTGATGTGACCACGGCTGCTTTAAAGGAAAATAAATATGTAATGTTTATTTCTGTTAAACAAGTTTTTCTAAAACAATTAGTTTAATATGAATACATATACATATATACTTAGACAAAATAATCAAGATCTAGTCTCATTCTAAAAGGAATTTAGATAATATTAAAAGGAATTGAGATATTATTACACGTCGTATGACCCAGATGTCCTAAGTTCAATCCCTGAAGAAAAAAATATTGTTTTTTGTTGTCGCCTGTGACCAACAAAACATAATGACATATAATGTCGAGAGGTTGCAAAACCTCAGACATGAGGACAAAAAACAGGGCATTTTAAGAAAAGAAAGAATTTAAGTTTAGTGTAACAAATATTGTTCAGAATTATACATAGAACATACCTGTAAAATGCATACTGCATTGCCATTTGCAAATAACTGTCCGGGCTGAGTTTCTGTGTCTTTATAAAGTTCTTTCCATATTTGTCGAACTTGAAACAGTTCAATTCTAGATCTGCTACTAACCTGGAAATGACAATGTGTCAAGTCATACTTTCGATGATTTTTGTTTATTAAAATAAACCAGCATAACTCAATTACACTAAATCGAATCAATTAAATACTTTAAGTGAAAATAATAATTTTGTTAACGTTATATTAACAATGTGATGATTTTATTTATTTACACTTACGCTGGCCATAGACGGACCGCATGTAGCAGTCGAGACCGACTGCTCTAGAGCGGTCGCGTTGAAGTCGTACACTTCAACACGACCGCATAATGCAGTCGGCTACGACTGCTTGGAGCAGTTGTGTTCGACCGCAAATTAATACTGATGCGAGTTCATTTACAAGATGGATTTCGATGAAGAAACACTGCTACTTGTACTACTATTACGCAAGCGTAGGCGTAAAAGACACCGTAGTATGTGGGTGCGTCCAATACTACAATCAAGAGAACAGCATGGAATATTTAATACTTTGTATCACCAGCTGAGAGAAGACACTAAAAAGTTTTTCAACTACTTTAGAATGTCCGTGGTTTCATTTGATGAATTAGTTAGTATTTAATTTTATTTGAGGGAGCGGCGCGCGGTCGGCAGCAACCGCTTGTAGCGGTCCGTGTATGGTGGGTCCGGCAGCTCTAAGCAGTCGACCGCACGGCGAAACTCGACCGCAGTAGCGACTCCGCAAAAATGGTCGCGCGGTGGAGAAATATAATTTTTATATATCTTAACCTGAGATACGACTGCTCCGACCGTATAGTGAAGGAAAACATAGTTAGGAAACCGGCATGCCTGTGACCGATTCGACGGCGTGTGTCAGGCACAGAAGGCCGATTTGCCTACTTGCCTATTGATAAAACAAATGATCACGAAACAGATACTTAAATCTGAGGCCCAGGCCTAAAAGGTTGCAGCGTATCATTGAAATATGTATAATATTATAAATAGGAAATATTTGTATGTTTCTATTGATGTGCCCCCGAAAACCCCCCCCCCCTTTTTAAAAAAAAAACAAAATTTCCCCCCCCCCGCAGAGCCCACCCCCCCCAAAAAAAAACCCCCCCCTCAAAAAAAAAGACGGCCCCCCCCCCCCCCCCCCCCCCCCCCCCCCCCCCCCCCCCCGCCCCCCCCCCCCCCCCCCCCCCCCCTCCGTTCCCCCCCCCCCCCCCCCCCCAACCCCACCCCCCCCCCCCCCCCCCCCCCCCCCCCTCCCCCTCCCTCCCTTTTTTTTCCCCCCCACCTACTTTTTTCCCCCCCCCCCCGCGGGCCCCCCCCCCGCCCCGGCCGGCCCCGCCCCCCGCCCCCCCCCCCCGGGCGCGGGGCCGCGCGCGGGGCCCCCCCGCCCCCCCCCCCCCCCCCCCCCCCCCCCCCCCCCCCCCCCCCCCCCCCCCCCCCCCCCCCCCCCCCCCCCCCCCCCCCCCCCCCCCCCCCCCCCCCCCCCCCCCCCCCCCCCCCCCCCCCCCCCCCCCCCGCCCGGCCGCCCCCCCCCGCCCGCCCCCCCCCCCCCCCCCCCCCCCCCCCCCACCCCCCCCCCCCCCCCCCCCCCCCCCCCCCCCCCCCCCCCCCCCCCCCCCCCCCCCCCCCCCCCCCCCCCCCCCCCCCCCCCCCCCCCCCCCCCCCCCCCCCCCCCCCCCCCCCCCCCCCCCCCCCCCCCCCCCCCCCCCCCCCCCCCCCCCCCCCCCCCCCCCCCCCCCCCCCCCCCCCCCCCCCCCCCCCCCCCCCCCCCCCCCCCCCCCCCCCCCCAAAAAAAAACCCCCCCCCCCCCCCCCCCCCCCCCCCCCCCCCCCCCCCCCCCCCCCCCCCCCCCCCCCCCCCCCCCCCCCCCCCCCCCCCCCCCCCCCCCCCCCCCCCCCCCCCCCCCCCCCCCCCCCCCCCCCCCCCCCCCCCCCCCCCCCCCCCCCCCCCCCCCCCCCCCCCCCCCCCCCCCCCCCCCCCCCCCCCCCCCCCCCCCCCCCCCCCCCCCCCCCCCCCCCCCCCCCCCCCCCCCCCCCCCCCCCCCCCCCCCCCCCCCCCCCCCCCCCCCCCCCCCCCCCCCCCCCCCCCCCCCCCCCCCCCCCCCCCCCCCCCCCCCCCCCCCCCCCCCCCCCCCCCCCCCCCCCCCCCCCCCCCCCCCCCCCCCCCCCCCCCCCCCCCCCCCCCCCCCCCCCCCCCCCCCCCCCCCCCCCCCCCCCCCCCCCCCCCCCCCCCCCCCCCCCCCCCCCCCCCCCCCCCCCCCCCCCCCCCCCCCCCCCCCCCCCCCCCCCCCCCCCCCCCCCCCCCCCCCCCCCCCCCCCCCCCCCCCCCCCCCCCCCCCCCCCCCCCCCCCCCCCCCCCCCCCCCCCCCCCCCCCCCCCCCCCCCCCCCCCCCCCCCCCCCCCCCCCCCCCCCCCCCCCCCCCCCCCCCCCCCCCCCCCCCCCCCCCCCCCCCCCCCCCCCCCCCCCCCCCCCCCCCCCCCCCCCCCCCCCCCCCCCCCCCCCCCCCCCCCCCCCCCCCCCCCCCCCCCCCCCCCCCCCCCCCCCCCCCCCCCCCCCCCCCCCCCCCCCCCCCCCCCCCCCCCCCCCCCCCCCCCCCCCCCCCCCCCCCCCCCCCCCCCCCCCCCCCCCCCCCCCCCCCCCCCCCCCCCCCCCCCCCCCCCCCCCCCCCCCCCCCCCCCCCCCCCCCCCCCCCCCCCCCCCCCCCCCCCCCCCCCCCCCCCCCCCCCCCCCCCCCCCCCCCCCCCCCCCCCCCCCCCCCCCCCCCCCCCCCCCCCCCCCCCCCCCCCCCCCCCCCCCCCCCCCCCCCCCCCCCCCCCCCCCCCCCCCCCCCCCCCCCCCCCCCCCCCCCCCCCCCCCCCCCCCCCCCCCCCCCCCCCCCCCCCCCCCCCCCCCCCCCCCCCCCCCCCCCCCCCCCCCCCCCCCCCCCCCCCCCCCCCCCCCCCCCCCCCCCCCCCCCCCCCCCCCCCCCCCCCCCCCCCCCCCCCCCCCCCCCCCCCCCCCCCCCCCCCCCCCCCCCCCCCCCCCCCCCCCCCCCCCCCCCCCCCCCCCCCCCCCCCCCCCCCCCCCCCCCCCCCCCCCCCCCCCCCCCCCCCCCCCCCCCCCCCCCCCCCCCCCCCCCCCCCCCCCCCCCCCCCCCCCCCCCCCCCCCCCCCCCCCCCCCCCCCCCCCCCCCCCCCCCCCCCCCCCCCCCCCCCCCCCCCCCCCCCCCCCCCCCCCCCCCCCCCCCCCCCCCCCCCCCCCCCCCCCCCCCCCCCCCCCCCCCCCCCCCCCCCCCCCCCCCCCCCCCCCCCCCCCCCCCCCCCCCCCCCCCCCCCCCCCCCCCCCCCCCCCCCCCCCCCCCCCCCCCCCCCCCCCCCCCCCCCCCCCCCCCCCCCCCCCCCCCCCCCCCCCCCCCCCCCCCCCCCCCCCCCCCCCCCCCCCCCCCCCCCCCCCCCCCCCCCCCCCCCCCCCCCCCCCCCCCCCCCCCCCCCCCCCCCCCCCCCCCCCCCCCCCCCCCCCCCCCCCCCCCCCCCCCCCCCCCCCCCCCCCCCCCCCCCCCCCCCCCCCCCCCCCCCCCCCCCCCCCCCCCCCCCCCCCCCCCCCCCCCCCCCCCCCCCCCCCCCCCCCCCCCCCCCCCCCCCCCCCCCCCCCCCCCCCCCCCCCCCCCCCCCCCCCCCCCCCCCCCCCCCCCCCCCCCCCCCCCCCCCCCCCCCCCCCCCCCCCCCCCCCCCCCCCCCCCCCCCCCCCCCCCCCCCCCCCCCCCCCCCCCCCCCCCCCCCCCCCCCCCCCCCCCCCCCCCCCCCCCCCCCCCCCCCCCCCCCCCCCCCCCCCCCCCCCCCCCCCCCCCCCCCCCCCCCCCCCCCCCCCCCCCCCCCCCCCCCCCCCCCCCCCCCCCCCCCCCCCCCCCCCCCCCCCCCCCCCCCCCCCCCCCCCCCCCCCCCCCCCCCCCCCCCCCCCCCCCCCCCCCCCCCCCCCCCCCCCCCCCCCCCCCCCCCCCCCCCCCCCCCCCCCCCCCCCCCCCCCCCCCCCCCCCCCCCCCCCCCCCCCCCCCCCCCCCCCCCCCCCCCCCCCCCCCCCCCCCCCCCCCCCCCCCCCCCCCCCCCCCCCCCCCCCCCCCCCCCCCCCCCCCCCCCCCCCCCCCCCCCCCCCCCCCCCCCCCCCCCCCCCCCCCCCCCCCCCCCCCCCCCCCCCCCCCCCCCCCCCCCCCCCCCCCCCCCCCCCCCCCCCCCCCCCCCCCCCCCCCCCCCCCCCCCCCCCCCCCCCCCCCCCCCCCCCCCCCCCCCCCCCCCCCCCCCCCCCCCCCCCCCCCCCCCCCCCCCCCCCCCCCCCCCCCCCCCCCCCCCCCCCCCCCCCCCCCCCCCCCCCCCCCCCCCCCCCCCCCCCCCCCCCCCCCCCCCCCCCCCCCCCCCCCCCCCCCCCCCCCCCCCCCCCCCCCCCCCCCCCCCCCCCCCCCCCCCCCCCCCCCCCCCCCCCCCCCCCCCCCCCCCCCCCCCCCCCCCCCCCCCCCCCCCCCCCCCCCCCCCCCCCCCCCCCCCCCCCCCCCCCCCCCCCCCCCCCCCCCCCCCCCCCCCCCCCCCCCCCCCCCCCCCCCCCCCCCCCCCCCCCCCCCCCCCCCCCCCCCCCCCCCCCCCCCCCCCCCCCCCCCCCCCCCCCCCCCCCCCCCCCCCCCCCCCCCCCCCCCCCCCCCCCCCCCCCCCCCCCCCCCCCCCCCCCCCCCCCCCCCCCCCCCCCCCCCCCCCCCCCCCCCCCCCCCCCCCCCCCCCCCCCCCCCCCCCCCCCCCCCCCCCCCCCCCCCCCCCCCTTTTCCCCCCCCCCCCCCCCCCCCCCCCCCCCCCCCCCCCCCCCCCCCCCCCCCCCCCCCCCCCCCCCCCCCCCCCCCCCCCCCCCCCCCCTCCCCCCCCCCCCCCCCCCCCCCCCCCCCCCCCCCCCCCCCCCCCCCCCCCCCCCCCCCCCCCCCCCCCCCCCCCCCCCCCCCCCCCCCCCCCCCCCCCCCCCCCCCCCCCCCCCCCCCCCCCCCCCCCCCCCCCCCCCCCCCCCCCCCCCCCCCCCCCCCCCCCCCCCCCCCCCCCCCCCCCCCCCCCCCCCTCTTTTTTTTTTTTTTTTTTTCCCCCCCCCTCGTGTTTTTCTTCCTCTTTTTTTTTTTTCCCCTCTTCCTTTTTTTTTTTTCTTTTTTTTTTTTCCCCCTTTTTTTTTTTTTTTTTTTTTTTTTTTTTTTTTTTTTTTTTTTTTTTCCCCTTTTTTTTTTCTCCCCCTTCTTTTCTTCCCCCTTTTTTTTTTTTTTTTTTTTTTCTCCCCCCCCCCTTCTTTTTTTTTTTTTTTTTTTTTTTTTTTTCTTTTTGTATGTTTCTATTATCTATTACTCGACCTATTGGACCGTTTCTTCTTCAAATTATTTTACCAATAGAATGTGTAAATAATATGAAATGACTTACTTGTTCAAATTATTTTTGGCTTCGTCTATCATCTTTGATACATCACTGTTAACATTGAACTTTAGTTGTACGGGCTCTATTGGCGACGATGATGACTCATCACTCTCAGTGTTCTTATCACTAAAAAAACAGTAAAATGAGGGTAGATTCAAACTTACATATTTTATATAGATTATAAAGTTAGTAGTAGTGAATTATTGCCATGTTTTATATATTAGGAGAGCGATATTTGCTGTTTAAATTCCGATATGTTTTACGAATGCTTTAAAGTTCATTTTGTATAATTATAAGGTGGTTCTAAAGGCAATAATAATAATAATAAATCATATTTATTTCTTCTCTCACATATACATACAAGGTTATTATAATTAAACTAAGATGATGACATTAGGAAGTGTATGTGAGAGACTGGTCTCTGTAACAGGAGACCTGAGTGACAGATAGCCAGCCTCTCCACCACCGGGCCGGAACACGTACAATCAGGTCATTGTCATAAGATACAATAGAAGAAAATAAGTAAGTGCTAAAAGAAAAAATTGTAAACGGAGTCGTAAAAATAAATTTGGTGTGTGTTTGTGTGTGCGTGCGTGTGTGTGTTTGTGTGTGTGTCGTGTGTATTAGTGAGCCAGACACATTTCTGCATAATTTTCTCATTTAGAACATAAGGTGAGTTTCCCGTCTTTATGAGTTTTATTACCTGTTAACTTCATAAATATAAATAGTTATACATATTATCTAACAAAATGGGGAAAATATATAACAGACTAGTCACGCTAAAAAAAATGTTCAACAGGAATCGAACCCAGTTAAAGGATACACTCCCCTTCCAAATGACGATCAAAACGAGACAATATTACACAATGTTTAAAATTTACATTACTTACATATAATTAATAATAAAATCAGTCAATACAGCAATTGGTTGTCCTTCTGCTGGGGAATGTTCGTATGTCAGGCCTGTTATACCATCAGCACCAACTATGAACTGAACATTTCAAGTAAAGGAAATGTATAAAGAATCTCTTTTTACCATATAATTGGACAAAGCTAACAAAATATATAGAGAATTCAAGACATAATTCAGAAAGACTGATAAAATATTTCTTAAGTCCTACTTTCAGTTTTACGATTCACGAGAATTCAATGTCGAAATAATCCCACTAAAAGTAATTTCGTGGTATGTATACAATTAACAATCTTATATGAGCTCTAAACGGCAATTGTGAGGAACTGTTTTGTCTTAAAACTTGATTTAAACATAAGTCAAATTTTATTATAGCGATAAATTAAACAGAAAAATAGCTTCTATTCCCACATTCTCCCTGGTTTTTCACCAACAAGTAAATTCGAGAAAATATGATTTATTAAGGCGTGGTCCTACACGAGACTTGAGTTAGCGCACCTGGCTGTGTTATACAATATTGTCAAAAGCAAAAACTATGCTGCTTCTGGGTAGGTAGCCAATAAATTCTTATCTTAGTTTTTTTTTCTATACTTTTTATTATACTTATATAATATACTAGCTGACCTAGCGAAACGTAGTTTTGCCATGTATATCATTTATAATAAAAAATAGGGGTTGATCGTAGAGGGATGAAAATTAGGGGTTGTATGTATTTTGTAATGCTGTATCATAAAAAAATAAAAATTTATCGAAAATTAAAAAAATATTAGGAGTGGACTACCCTTAATATTTAGGGGGATAAAAAAAGATGTCCGATTCTCAGACATACCCAATATGCACACAAAATTTCATGAGTATCGGTTAAGCCGTTTCGGAGGAGTTTAACTATATAAACCGCGACACAAAAATTTTATATATTATATTACCTGTACAGTTTTATCGAACCACCGGTTCCCACCATTAGCGGATGCGCCGGCGCCGTGTATCGTATGAGCGCCCGCCAAAGAGCGTCTAGCGCTTTCATCAGCCTTCCACACGCCACTAGCATTATCCAGGCATAACACTGCAATGCTACGCTCTACGTCTGCTAGACTACGGCGGTTGTTTTCATCTGAAGGAAAGTAAATGTGTACTTGAAATTATTTTATAACTGGACTATTTATACATATTTTTCTCTCATGAACGTAATATACATCAAGTGCGCCAAGTGTTGGCAAGCTAATGTTAATAAAATAAAAAAGTATTGTCTTGCACATTAAAGAAGCCTTGATATGTTATAAAGGCAAATTCATCTTGTCTATAGTAATATTTATAAAGAGTTTTGTATATTTGTATCGAAACTCGTTTCAAAACTTACTATATATTAAAAATGGCAATATTTTTTTTTTTAAATGTCCAGCCGAAACAAGCCATCTATATATTATGTAACAACGAATCTCACTTTCCCTTGGTCATCGCAACACGCGTGAACGCATGAAACAATATCGCATTTTTTTTGTTATTTTTATTATTGTCAGGTATATTTATTATTGTTATGCTAGAAAAAATTAACTTAAGCGAAAGTTTAGGAAAAATCAAAGTTGTTTTTTTTGTTAAGACAGGACAACATCTGACCTGACAGATAGCTAAGCCTAAGCTAAGCTAGCTAGCCTGATAGATAGCTAGTTATTTAAATAACTTGATGTTTCGGGCTCATCAATTAATCATAAACCTTTTTATTTCCACAAAACAAGTAAATTAAGAACCAAATTCATATAAAGCTAAGAAACCTGAATGATAAGAGCCTACCTTTACTTAAAAGCTCATAAGCCTTGGCCCAATTATCTCTATTTTCCGAGGTAAGGATCCCAACTGCATCTTTAGCGGAAGACGCCGATGAGGCAACAATTTTCTTCAGTCCTTGAACTATTTGATCACAACTTAATCTTTTATCGTCACTGCCCCAGAGGTCTAAGTGAAACAGCTAAAAATTTGTAAACCATTTTAGCAACAAATTTCGCTTCCATAGGTAGATGTCGAAGTGAAGTTAGTCAAGCGTATTCGTTTGCCGAAATATTGGTTCAATTATTTTGTGGGTTACTCACGTAATTGAAATAATTTAAAAATGTGTGAGTGTATTTGACTTCAAAAGGAGGTTTTCAGATTGACCTATTTGTAATATTGTTGGAATAGGATAACATTTAAGTATGAATGTATGTTGTTATGTCACGAAATTCTCGGAAAGAGTCACACCGAGGTGACCTTATTAAGCTGGATATTCCACCATAGGAAATAGTCCATGTTTCATCAAAATCGGTCAAGGGGTTTTTAACATATGTCAACTATATTGGTATCCTCGCATTTCTGGAGTAGGCAAATATAACATAGGTACGTACTTAAGTTTTATAGTGTATGTAATATAATTCTTATATTATGGTTGTTTTATTGTTTACCAATTAGCAGTGACGTAACTATACCATCTGGGGCTCGTGGCAAATTCTTTATACATCTTTACATACTCAGTTAAATTTTAATAAATTTCGAGATTTACACGTTATATATGTCCCACTAATGGCTATAGGCCTCCTCTCTTAGGCGAGAGGGAACGGTCTATAATCCCCACGCTAGCCCAATGCGTATTGGAGACTTAACATTCATCCATAGAACATAATATCTCTTGGCCAGGGGCCCTCTTGGATCGGGGGCCCTTGGCATTTTGCCACCCCTACCACCCTATTGTTACGCCACTGCAAGTTAGCAGTACTTATACAGCGTCATTTTTGTAATAGGTATAAACAATAATAATAAAACGATCTTTCTAATAATGGCCTGTGGCCATAGGCTACCAAATAAGGTAATCATTAATCTAAAACTTACGTGATTATTATGAATAACAGTAACATATTTGCTATCATTGAAAGACAGCTTATCTCTCTTAGGCTGTGGTATGCGACAAGTACCAAATATTTTCTTATACTGCGACATATCCAATGGACTCTTCCCCATCATTTCTAAGGGTATTTTATCGCTGCAATTGAGATTTTTCTACTTGTAGTATGGTAAAGTTATTGTTTAATTTTTTTAAAGAAATAAGCAGTTAGTAGACATGACTTTTGTAAAGTTACAAGGCGTTCGAAAACTTAAAAAAATTATTTACGTTAAACAAAAACGATTTTTTTCTCGATTTTAATTTTTTTTCGATCAATTTAGATTTGGAGACTTGAATACTAAATTTTGCATTTAATTTTCTTAACAAAACTTATAAGAAAGCGCATTTGTCTGTTGTTCAATTGTAGTGTCCATAACTGGCCAAATGATGTTGAATGAGTTTGCGAGAAAAAGTTTGGAGAGCTTTCGGAGCTAATCAACTTACCAGTAACGATTAGTGAGACAGATACGATCAGGCGATTATCTTTAGGCTCCGTTAGAACTGAGAAGTGTATTTAATAACTTACTTATCAATTAGGGATTTATAGTTGACAGCTGCGAGCAACGTTTTCGCAGCATATTCCAATTGTTCAGTTTGATTATTAAATTTTCGTAATGGGAAAACTAAGCCGGGACTCGAGAATACAACTACCGGATCACGGTATTCCAAATAAGCTGTGTTTAACCACCATTCTTCAAGCCAATTTGTGTGCTTACTAGCTCTATTTTCTAACAAACTCTGGAAAAAAAACACAAAAAACCAATCAATAGGCTAGCTAGTTCTCGCGAAAGTATTTGTTCGATTTAATATTAATATATCAGAATAATCAGAGGCAATGTGTGTCGGTTGATTTTGTTTTTATTGGGCATAATTATTTGGATAATGCCATTTTTTAATCTGCGAGAAATGCTTAAGACTATGGTTTTTATTTGACAAATATTAAACAAATATTTTTCACATGTATACAGTAACATTCAGAGTCGAAATTTAGTGATAAGGAGACTCCCGTGAGCCAAAAACTTTATGGATTTAACACAAGGGATTCTTAGTTTTCCCGTTCTGATTATTATTAAACCAGGATAAAATAAACTGTCCAAGATAAACCTATAATAAATATTACATACCAATGAAAAATAATAGTTTTAACCTATATATGTGCAGACAAAACATGATTTTTTAAAGAAAACACTTTTTTAACGGTTTGAAGCTATGTATTATCATAAAATAATTATAAGTTTATAATAATACATAGATTCAATCCATTAAAAAAGTGTTTTCTTTAAATGTGTGAAAGTTATGTTAATAAAAGACAATACTATAGACATGATTATGTTTACCTGTAGCTTCCGGCCAATACCACCCTCAGAAGCAAAGTTATTCATAAGTTTAGAAGTATTGGAAAACTCATTCTCATTAAGGAAAGGTCGTACAGTTTTTAAATACTTATTTACGGTATCTTCAAGTTTAGGTACAGGAAGTTGTGGTAAATTTTGTGAGTTTGGTGCTGGTTTTGTTGAGGTATAATTGCTGACCAGTTGAAGTGATGTGATATAGGGCTCCAGAGTGAAGCCTTTGGAATTCCACTAAAATAAAATTGTTTACTAGTAACACAAAACAAATAAAACAGAAATTCCTCTGAGTACCATTATATAATCTTATCAGCTTAAATTATTCCTTGATAATAATATTATTAGTAATAAAGATTATTATTCAATAAAACATATATTTAATTTTAAGGAAAATAGTTACATTGTTTCAACAAGGAAAATGTTAATGATTAAGTTGCAGGAATATAATACTTACAATTCTAATTCCCCGCAACATATTTGAACCCTAAAATAAATTTTATTAATAATTAGACAAAAGCTAAGCACACTTCATTAATTTACGTAAGAAAAACTTTTTAAAAACATATTGTAAGAACAATACTTTTGGCAAATAGTTGTAGAGTTAGAAAAATAATAAAAACTCCAAATGCAAACAATTGAAAGGTTTAAAAAATCTATATTTTTTAAACCCCATATGGGATAAAAGTCAAAATCACAATTAAGACTTACTTTAGATTCGTATTTATCGGAGAAAATTTTAGTACTCATGAGAAGTTACAGGACGTAATTAGAAAAATGACCAAAATTCTACTAATACACTAAGTACTAACTAGCAAAGCAAAGTGAAAGGCGGGAAGGAATCAGTGGATAATGGCAGTTGCGATGCAGACACGTTTATAAATTAAGATCGTAAGTCATTAGTCAACATACAACACTGAACACAGCAATCAAGAAATCTAAAAAACAAGTTTTACAAATAAGTACCGGTTTATACTTTCAGAAGTTCTGTCTTGGTTGAGATTTTTGTCAAAGTTTACATATAAACAAGAATTAATTAAAGACTGTCTATAGATATAACTTATCTCAGCCCAACAGAAATGCGACTAGAAAGTAGTTACGTTAAAATTAAATGTCATATATTAGTCTACTTTTTTAACGTAAAAATAAATATGCAAAATAGAAGATTTTAAACTTAAATCTCGATTCCTGCAAGTCCGACCAAACTTCAAAGTTTATGAATTATGATCAGTGTTGCAATATTTGACCTAAATTGTGCGATATTTTTACATACTAGTTTTAAGCGTAAATAGGAATGAATAATGTAATTATTGATGTTGTCGAAGTATTCCATATGGATGCAACGACAATAGATTGGCACATGACACCAAAATTGTTTTTTTTTCGACTTTGATATGCAATTTTGGCAAGATATTATAGGTGTTTAGCAACTTTTATAGGCTTCTTGGCAACATCTCTGTGGCAACCAACTTCAAATTACCCCTGAATATCGACAAAAAAACCCTAACATTTTTAATGTACACTCGGTTTAAGAGGTAATTTTAAATATGAATTAAAAATACATTCAAGTAGTATAAAATAACTATTGTAGTTATGCGGGTGCATTCACATATAATTATTAAAAACCTTAAAATATGCTTTAATAAGTATATTCCTTGACTTTTTTAGCATATATATTTTTTTATCTTTCCCTAATTTTCGTTGCATACATTCTTTTAACGATTTTTGTATTTTTATAATCGTTGAGTTACTATTTCGATCTTGGGGTATTAGTTATAATCACGCTTAGAGTTTATAGTAAATAAATCAACCTCCTAAAAACCTCTGGATATCTTGTTTTCCCCTAAATTCGGGGCGGGAACACCCAAGTTGGCATCTCTGCAAATAGGTCGGTATCACAGATAATGGTTAAATAATATATAAATTGTCTAATGTCAGTTTGTAATATGCTGTGGTCTGTATACGGAAACACCACGATACCTATCTCTAATAACATTTAATATATTTTATTGATAATATTATATGAATAAGAGTAACATTTTAATTGAAAATTCTGCATTTAGCGTCCTCTAATACCTTTCATGTTCTAAACTAACACCATACCATGGCATCACAAATTTTAAATAGATTTAAACAGTTTGATGCATATGCTAAAACTTTAGAAGATTTCAGAGTAAAAACAGCAAGTGGTGCTTTTAGTAAGTACAATATTTATTTGATTTTGAAGACGATCTACAAGGCTGTATAATATATTATTACTTACTAGATATATAGGTGCTTTATAATCTATACCCATACAAAATACTTTTCAGTTACTATACTTGGTGGAACAGTTATGATTCTTCTAATAATATCTGAGTTACATACATACATGTCGCCTAACATATCTGAAGAATTGTTCGTAGACACATCCAGAGGTCATAAGATAAGAATAAATTTTGATATTATTGTTCCTAGAATATCATGTAATTGTAAGTAATATTTATGGGTAACAATAATTTTGTTAAATATACAAAAAAAACTAATAATTTTTAATAGACTTAGTTCTTGATGCAATGGATTCATCTGGAGAGCAACACTTACAAATAGACCATAATATATTTAAAAGACGCTTAGACTTAGATGGAAACCCAATAGAAGAAGCAAAAAAAAGAAGAAATAATGACTTCAACTGCAGTGAGTAGAAACCTGTAGTTAAAAGACTATAAAATCAATTACCAATAATAATTAACATTTATAATATAAGTCAATTTGTTGTTTAGGTTCCAAATAATTCTTCTGATATTGGAAAGATAACATGTGGAAGTTGCTATGGCGCAGCATTTAATGACTCTCAGTATGTGATTTTATATATTATATTGACTAAACTTGCAAAATATACAGTGGTACCTCAATATACCTAGCTGAGCAAGCAACATTTCATTTTGAGACGAGCTTGATTTGAGATATAAGGAATTGCACACCATACGCTCCATAACCCCAACAACAGACACAAAATAAAACTATCAATTTCTCCTACCTCCGTCAATTTAGTACCTAAATTGTTAGTTAATTAAACTTATATGTTAGGGTACCGCTGTATTTGGTTACTATTAGTTATTCAAATACTTAAGTGAAATAATAATTGTATAGTGTAAAACATAATATAGGTCATCATTTTTATTCCACCATGTACTTGCACCTCCAAGCAAGTCTAACTTGGTGTTAAAACTTTATTTTAACAACAGTTCAAATTCTTCACCTTAAATTTAATCTGGTAGCTTGCATAATATCTGATTAGTTGATGTATAGCCAAATTTAATATTACATAGTTCTAATCAGATTATAAGTTTTATTATTAAGGTGCTGTAATACATGTGAGGATGTCCGTGAAGCATATAAAATGAGGAGGTGGGCACTGCCTGATTTATCTACTGTTGAACAGTGCAAAAATGATGAATCTTTAGAGAAAGTCAATCTTGCTTTAAAAGAAGGATGCCAATTATTTGGAAACATGGATGTTAATAGGGTAAATTATGATCCATAAACTTCATGATAATGTAAACATTTTTACATTATCAGACGAGTATCAGTCTAGATGATTTGATTAAAAAAAATCACTTTTAGGTTGGTGGAAGTTTTCATATAGCTCCAGGAAAAAGTTTTACTATTAATCACATCCATGTCCATGATGTCCAACCATTTTCATCATCAGTATTCAATACAACCCATATAATAAGACACTTGAGTTTTGGTTCGGATATCAAAAATGCAAACACAGCTCCTTTAGATGGAGTTACTGGATTGGCAAAAGAAGGTTAGTTTAGGGATATATTTTGTAATATCTATATTGTATTACTATCTGTAAAGGGGAATACTAGACAGTTAACCATGTGGGAAAATATATATTCATTTATATATTTTAGATTAGTAATCAAAAATGCTGCTATTATAATATAATCTAAATTTATTAAATCTAAATAAAATTATGACTAATTTGAAACTAAAGAACCACTTATGTTATGAAATATATTATTACTTATATTATTATTCATTCAAATTTTTCACTTGCTTTCTATTAACCTCAATATATAAGAACAAGTTTAAACAGAAACAAATTATGAAAATTAATCTTAAAAATATTTGGAAAAGAGACACTAAACAACATATTTTTGTTTTCTTAATTGTGACGAATTAGGTGTATATGTTATATACAGTCTAGTCTAGGAGTAATATGTTTCAACAACGTATTCCTGTTCCAATAGCCATAAATGTACCAAATGTACCACCCCCTTGCAGCATTACTTTACCAACAGAATGAACCAGTTCTCGCCCTCTTGCTCCATATCTGGAATTTTTAACATTATATAATCATGATTTCTTGAGTAAATATTTACTTGTACATTGTTGTTTAAGTACAATACAAACCTCAATGCCGTAAATCCTCCAAATAAACCACCGCTAGCCATTCCAACACAGAATCCTATCATAAAACCCATTTTCATTTTATCAAAACATGTTGGTCCTTGACTTTGATATACTCCACCCGGTACTGGCATATTTTTATATTATCCTAAATATGCACACGAGAAACTTACTTAAAAACAAAAGTTGGGTTATATTTTAAAGAATTTATAACTTGCCTTAATGCTACAAGATTAGATTACTGACTTAATAGTAAATTTTTACTTCGGTAGTGACCCAGACATGTCAGTTGTCAGTTCAACCGTATATTAGACGTCTGTTAAAAAATGGTAATAGACATTTTTTTCTATTATTCGCAAAGATCTAAGTTAAAAAATAGCAATCTCTAAGTTTTTCCTATTTATCTAAATACGTGCGAAACATTTTGTCTTCACTTGTTACAACTTTAAACAGATTGTGTGATTATTATTGAATTTATGTGACTCATATAATCACATTAAGAGTATATTTATTTATGTTTGCAGGTGCTGTTATGTTTCAGTATTATATTAAAATTGTTCCAACAATGTATGTTTCTTTAGACAGCAAAGTATTACATACGAATCAATTCTCTGTAACTCGTCACCAGAAATCAGTGTCAAATGTCAATACAGAATCTGGTATGCCTGGAGCATTTTTCAGTTATGAATTATCACCTTTAATGGTGAAATATACAGAGAAGGAAAGGTAAAATAAAAAGTTGTGCCATATCATCACATGTATTTATTACTTAATCTTTCCTAAATTTCTAATGTGGCTGCTTGTTTTCAGATCACTTGGTCATTTTGCAACAAACATATGTGCAATTGTAGGTGGAGTTTTTACGTTAGCAGCAATTTTTGACTCACTTTTATACCACTCACTGAATGCTGTTCAAAAGAAAGTAATGTTAGGCAAAACTGGATAAAATTATGATTTACATTGTTTTTAGAAAGATGTTAAAATCTTCAACACTACATTTTGCATATTTTATACAAAACTCCACATCAGTGCCACTACAAAGTGCAGCTAAAGGAACATAATTAGCTTTTTTGTTATTGTATTGAGCTCTACCTAGTTTTTCTAAAAACAAATGTCTTTGTTTAACAATAAAATTTCTATAAGTTAAAATAGTAGAATTTTGTTTAATATCTTCATGTGTAATTTTCATGACATTGTGAATGTAGTTAAATCGTTCCAATAGAGACTTCTGATCTGAAAAGAAAAAATATTTATGGTAGGTTCTTGTCCTATTTTACTATTGTTTTCAGCATTGTAAAAATTCACTATTTTTGAACTGGAATAATTTTTAATAAAGCCTTTACATTGAAAAGGCTTTTAAAATAAAATACTTACTCATCATCCAAATCTTTGGTTTTTCCAAAAGAAGGTCCTTAATTTCTCCATCATTAAAACCAAATTCTTCTTTAATAACAAATGTATTGGTGGAAATATGATGCAAATTGTATGTAATTATGCGAGGTTGTTTTGTAGCAAGAAATCTTACCTCATTACCAGTTAAAGCAAATGTATTTTGAAAGTAACCTAATCTTCGGTCAATTTTTTCAGTGCTGTTAACAAAAAATACTTATGAAAATAGAATGCTTATAAGACATAATTAATACATACTTAATCATAAAAAAAACTTACTTAAACATTAACCAAAAAGGATTTTTAGATATAATTCTTATTATATCTTGTGAATAAAAATGTTTAGACTGCAAGTAATTTATTCTCACTTCTAAGTCGGCAATATCTTGACACAGAATCATTGGGTTTTTAGTTAAAAAATTTCCAAGGCTTTCATTTTCAACATAATCTTTCAAGAAAAATATATGATTTTTAATATTCTTTTCGAAATCCAGTTTTAGTATTTTTTCAACAATATATGGTTTCTTTTCAATTTTAGCAAGGTTGACATTTAACTTCATAAGTTTTTGCAATGTGTCTGAAGTGTTAACATATGCAGCTAAATTAAAAGATTGTAAGTGATTTGAAGCCAACTCAGATAAATCATCGTCATGACGGTCAAATACACTTTTGTCGTTTAAATATTGAGTAACTTGGTTTTGAACTACACAGTAGCTTCTACATTTTGAAATAACTCTAAATTTAGCAAACTTAAAACACTGCATTTTCATATATTATTTAACATATTTATACTGGCTAAAATGTTTATATAAATAACGTGATTGTTATTAAAGATAAACCAAAGATATATAATATGTGTGCCACTAAGTCGAAACGTAGTCGGCACTCGGCACTCGGCATTCAACGCAATTAATTCTGGTCACTATTAAAAAGTAACATAGTTGTATGTAGGCTTACTATTTAAAGTTGAAAAAATGTGCCGTATACATTAAAATAAGACAATATTACTTCGTAATATAACGCATCAATGAACTGCTACTACTGAAATCTGAATTCTGAATCAGGCTAAAATTCGGAACAGGGCTGCCAGGTGAAAAAAACGCATGATCGTACACCAACTATTAAAAAATCGTACACCAAGGAAATTTTGAAACGAAAAGATCGTACAACAAAAAAGTGGAAAGTTTTTATTTAAAATAAGTAGCTGCCTTTGCCTTGAAGAGTGTTACTTTAAAACTCCATATTCTGAAACTATTTCGACGTCACACACAGTCCACCTGGCTTTAAATTGGTTTTTACCGGGCCCTAACCGGTCCGTAAATAAATCAAATTTTTCCCGATCGGGACGTTACTTCTGTGCTCTGTGTTTGTTCCTCAATGACCTGTGTTGTAGAAAGCTCTCCTCTTTTGGCTAATTTCTTTTTTGGAGTACCTGGCGCAGGTCGGTCTTCTTCATTTTCACTACCCATTCTTGCTTAAGCGTATAGCACAAAAACCCCTAAAGACAATATGCAGATCAAAAGAGGATAGTATAATCACTTAGAGCTAGAGACTGATGAGAAAAACAGGTTTTTGACTATTCCAATACAGGTATTTACAAGAGAAAAATAATAAGTTTTGTTACAATGCACACAAATATAGACTTCATATAAAAAAAGGGTCTTTAGACGTAAAAGGTCTAAGCATACGTTAGGTTGTTGGGGAAATCCCCAAACATAATACTTGCCGGTGGAGTATATATTCGTTTCATTACGAAATGTTGCCAGGTACAGAATAATCGTACATTTTATGTACGATCTTGGTCTAGCGATCGTACATGAGTAAAAATGACAAAAATCGTACAAGTACGATTTAAATCGTACATCTGGCAGCCCTGATTCGGAAATGCATCACAATACACACCACAGTAAGCACCATAAATTAGTAGTCTTTGGTTATAATTACTCTATGAGTCTATGGTTGCTTGTAACTATTCCAAGTAAAGTGTTCCCAAGCCTCATAGTCCCGCTGCAGGATTGGTGTGCTCATCGACTTTTTGTTTAAAACCAAATTTTTATGTTTATTTATAATTAAGAGAATATATATTTACTAGGGTGCCTATCAAAATTTGGCCGCCATTATTGCCTGCAATCGCTGTCCTCGTCTGACAAATGATGTTACGCGCTAACTCTCTTTCACTCTACCTTAAATATTTATTATCTTTAACAGCCAGTAACCCTTATTTGTGGCCAGATTTAATAAAGCAACTTTATATGATAATGAATAGAAAAAAATTAGCTTCAATTTGACATATAATTAATAAAAATAGGTTATAAACGTATAAATTTATCGAAATCATACCTGTTTACACCTGGCTGCAAAGAGGTGCGGCCAGGTGCGCAATGGCAACCGTGATTTTTAGAATCTTCATATTAATTACCGTGATGTAGACGTTATTTTATTTAAAAAATAAATAAATGAAATTTTTTACCAAAAATCAATGAAAAATAATGGCGGCCAAATTTTGATAGGCACCCTAGTAAATATATATTCTCTTAATTATAAATAAACATAAAAATTTGGTTTTAAACAAAAAGTCGATGAGCACACCAATCCTGCAGCGGGATATCGTACTATCATAGCCTAGCGGTCTTATTAAGTGGCAGCTAGGTGGGGGTACCGGGTTCGATTCCCGGTTCGAGGACAAGTTTTAATTTATTCTCGGCCTTTGGGAGAGTTGTGCGATACCGGGCAAGTGCTTAAACCGTACATGGAGGACACGGTCGAATTTCTAAAGACAAGCACGAATTATAAAAAATCCTATACTTGACGCTGGCTAATGCACAAATCGTGCCAGAGCCATTAAAAAAAAAAAAAGTGTTCCCAACTCTACCAACTTTTAGGTAGATCTACCAACATTTAGGTGGATCTACCAACTTTTAGGTAAATCTACCAACTTTTACGTTTTTTTCAAATCTACTACCTTATAAAGAAAATCCATCAACTTGTTATTTATAAAAAAAATTAATTTTATTTTTTTATTTTTATGTTGTTTAATTTTCTTTTATGCAATAAGTTAAAAAAATGCGCGCTTTTGCTTTCTTGACAGTTGAAATATAACGATATACATCAGCCATTAAGAAACCTCGCCTTATTTATTTATTGCGAGTTTCGACTAATGACTAACATTAAGACTCATGAACTTACTATGTATTTTGATATGTAAAGCGCAGCGTTGAATGTTATTAAATAAAGTATTTTAGTATTGTTGGTCTATCTAAACATTAAAAAATAAAATGATTAGTAATGAAAGTGAAAATGGAGAAAATTTTTCTCCACGAAAATTGAGGAAAATTCATTATGATCAAAAATATTCAAAATTCTGGGAAAAAGAACCACAATATGAAGGTTGGATTAAGCATTTCAGTTTCCGGCCCTCATTGTCAAGTAAATTATGTTAGATTGATCTCTTCAATCCATACTATGCTTTGATTTTTTATGAATATTTTCCATTTTTTAGGTAATATTCATTTTTTACTATAATAGATGAAGTGATTACTATTTTACAAAAAAAATATGAAATAAAGCTTAATCACATCTTAGAGTAGGATTTTATATAAAACTCGAAATTATAGTTGGTACATCTACCTACTTTTCGAATTGAAGATGGATGGAAACTACCAACTTTTGAAATTGTATCTACATTCTACGTACTTGATAAAATTCGAGTTGGTAACACTATTTCAAAGTTCCAAGTTCCAACTGGCACTCTGCAGCAGCCGTGCCACAAATTACAACTGTGTCAAGTTTCCGCAACTTTCAAATTGCTTTCATCATTAATTCAATATAGTACTCAAAAAAAATTGAGGTGAAGTATTCTTTAAAATTCTTACTTTTTTTTGGCCGCAGGTATAATTGTTTGAAATAACATAAATAAGCCTTTTAGTAAAGTTACTAAATTCCGTAGGACATTAGACAAAATTATTAACCCCTTTTACTTCTTAGAACATATGGCCGAAAGTTATTAAATAGTTACAATAGTTACACTTAGGTACTTTAAATTATTGCTGCTATATCGCGATTTTAAACATAAACTAAGTGCACTTGTGTTTTATTGCAGAACTGTTTAATAAATCAACGGTACTGTACGTAATATTTTAGTGTATATGTTCACATGCAATCTATTTTTTTAAAGGATTAAGAATATATAAATCATTGATTATTCAATTAAAGTGAATACTTTTATAGAATGCAAATCTTTTATTTTTATTTGTTAACTTGTTATAAATTAACTAACAAACTTGTATTTTTCAGGTCAGCTTAGTCATTATGAACACTTCAATGACTGGAAGTGAAGTTCGTCAAGCATATATTGATTTTTTTATTAGCAAGGGTCATAAATATGTTCATTCTGCTTCAACAATACCACTTGATGATCCCACTCTTCTATTTGCAAATGCTGGAATGAATCAGTTTAAACCAATATTTTTAGGTTCTGTTGATCCAAATTCTGACATGGCAAATTATGTAAGAGTAGTAAATACACAGAAATGTATAAGAGCTGGTGGAAAACACAAT